ATGCACTAGACTCCTCCCCCAATCGGGTTTCTTGGGGGAAAACAAATCAAACTACGCCATAAGACAGCTTAAACATTTTACGAAAGGAGCAGCAAACTTGTATTATGAAATATGGACTCAAATTTCAGATCATGTCTGACTTATTTTCCTAAAACCAAATAAGACTAGATTAGAATGGTGGCCAAACAAGAGAAAACATTTCTAATTGGATGGTCATTAGGAAATACATTTTGTGCTAATCAGTCAGACTGAAATGAGTCCACAGAACACAGAAGCAACGTGACTAAGATGTGGTAAGCATGATTTCCTTCACTGCATGTGACTGGGATATTTTTCTTTACTTTCTCTTTTAAAATTCATGTCCGAGAAATAAACAGCAACCATGATAGTAAACTGGCTACAGGAAGTTGCTGGTGTTCTCTAATGGTCCAACAGAAATAAGAAGGGAGTAGCAGTGTTAGTAATTCTGCTGGGCATACATGAAAATAGGGTAGCGTGTAAACATTTGCCAAACATATATATCAAGATGCTTAAAAGATGGTCTTCTAAGAAGATCTTTTCTTCTATTTTACTCATAATGAAATTTTCTTATATTTTAGATGATCAAGACTTAAGAGTTTGAAAAAAATTATTGAGGAAATAGTCAAATGGAAAAACACTGAATGCTACAATTATCTAAGCCTACTGTTGAAGAGAAGTATGAAAAAGCCAGCACGACTGGAAAAGGCTTCTATCTATACACGAAGAGAGAGGAATTGAAGACTTAAGAGTTCAGTCACTGGGGTCAGACGTCAACCAATCCTGTATCTTGCTTTTTCAGGTCGCTGGCTCTGTCCCACTGCAGCACCATGCGGCGAGGGGAAATGCTACCTTGTGGTTTCAAAAAAAAAAAAAAGAGAGAAAACTGGGCTGTGCTAGTCCAGGGTAGGAGTATGTATGTGTGTGCGTACGTGCATGTGTATGACAGTGTGTGTGTGTGTGTGTATGTGTGTGTTGACAGGGGGTCCTTTATATGTGACTATAAATTCTCATGATGAAGTCATGGCAGAGGTGAGCTTTGTTGATTTTGATGGTGAAGTCATGAAGGCATCAAATAAGCCATGGGGGAAAGCACTTAGGCATAGAGATTTAATTAAAATGCCTTTTTTGATGCCTTATTAAATGCAAAAAAAGTTACATCTGTTACTTTCCTTAATTCACCTACAACTGTATGTGTTGGGGACAGGAATTAAGGAGGCAATTCTGCTTTTTCAATTCAGATTTTTGTGTGTCACTTCTCTCCATGAATCTTAGATAGGAAGGGGCACTGGAAGTTGTCTGGTCTGAGATTGCATCTGAGGGGCTGATGGTTTCCATAAATGCACCTACAGTTTCTGCCAGGATACTCCTACAGAACACATATCACAAGGTTGACAGCAATAATTTAAAACATGTTTTCTGTTTGCTTAAAAATCGGACCTCCCATAACTTCTACCTTAGTTTTACTTTCTATACCTTAAACAATGTATGTTATGACATTCAATGCCCAATTTTCCAACTAACTGGAAGTAGCTATCCTCTCCCCTCCAAATCTAGAAGGGGACAAGTGGAAATTTTTTTTTATTTAAAATGTTCTATTTCTCTAATCATTCTTCATAAGAGGTTTCCAGATCACTCACCATCCTATATCTCTCTGCTGAAAAAGCTCAAGAGTTCACTGTTATTCCATTAAATAGCTACCATTTATTAAGAATATGTTATGTTGCAGAAAGGGTTTAAATTAAGCACCTGCTTTAATCTTCACAATAATGGCCTTTTGAGACAAGTATTTTCACCCCCATTTTTCTGGTCAGGAAACCAAGGTTCAGAAAGCTAAAGTTCTTTGAAATCACATGGATTACAAATAGATAAATCTGTTTTCACACCTGGGTCTGGTGGTTCCAAAGAGCGCCATCCTGCATGAATTCATGAATAAGACACAGCGGATGGGATCTCTCCGGCCCAGGATCTGGGCACTGGCCACATTTGGGGAAACCACACACTGCCTTTCCACAGAAGCCACTGTGACTGCATGGAAGTTTCTGACAGCTACACCACACTGCTGGTTAACGCTGAGTTTGTAATCGACTTAAACCCAAAGATTAGTTTCACCCAAACTATCATTAAGTCTGATCACCCCTTCCCCCAACACATTTCTATTTTGCATCTGATCCTTACAAACAGAGTGAAGTCTGGCCTCTGTTCCTGCTAAACATTATCTTGCTACTTTGTTTCCATGTCACACACTGTCCACTTCATGAGAAACCCGTATTTTGGCACATGGGCTCTTAGTCACTTAAAAATATTGTTCAGCTATTTGTTACGCGTGTGCCTTCATCCAAGACGTTGATAAAAACTCCGTGTAGAGGAGAGTGAAACCGAAGGACACCTTCCCTACGGCAATGTTTTTCAACCACCATTTACCTACTATACCCCATGCACCCTGCCAGCCAAGGTTTTATGTTCCACAGTTTGTATCTAAAGTCCACAGTCACTTTGAATATGCGTTTTCAGCTATATCTTGTTGCCACCTTGAGAACCATGTAGCTGATTCACGATCCATTTTTCTTATTCAACCAGTCATTACCATGCCCAAATTTCTCTATTTTCTCCACAAGTATGCCAGTCAGTAGTGACCACATTTTTTTCAACTACCAATGTATGTTGTAAAACTGAAAATACTCTGCTGGCCAAGGATTTTGTGTCCCAGAAAAAGAGAATTACTCTTAATTCTTAAGAATCTATCAACTTTAAGGTGCCTGGGTGGCTCAGTCAGTTAAGCGTCTGCCTTTGGCTTGAGTCATGATCTCAGGGTCCTGGGATCGAGCCCTGTGTGGGGCTCCTTGCTCAGTGAGGAGTCTGCTTCTCCCTCTCCCTCTGCCCCCTGCTCCTGCTTGTGCGCTTTCTAATAAATAAAATCTTAAAAAAAAAGAATCTGTAAACTTTATAAAAAATTACTATAAAAGAAAATAACTGACCAAAATTGCCATGTCACTCAAAATGTTCACAGTGACATTAAAAGTAACACTGAGTTATATCCAAAGTTAATTACAACATAAAAATTCTGAACTCTACAAAAAATACAGATATCTATTACATATTTGAAGCATGGGATATAAATTAACATTTACATGTACCTCAGTCAGCCCTGAGGCATTTATTCCATCCACACCAAACACTATAAACTTTCTTCTAGATTCTTCTTTAGAAAACTCTGGTAGCCATGACTAGATCACTGCCAGGTAACCCTATTTATTCCATTAATAATAGAATCAACAGAAAGACTCTCCTCAAAATTAAGAAAAAAGCTTCACTTAGATCAATTTCTCAGAAAGTGGATCTACCCTGGAAAAATACAATGTCTCTCATGGTTACAAAAGTCCTTTAAGCTTCGGAGTAAAACCCAGGTAGACTCGAGTACATTTTCGGATCTCCCAATTTCCACAATAAATCTCTCAATCAGTAATTGGACACTTTGAGCTCAGAAATCAGCCAAAATCAAAGTCAAAAAAATGTAAAAGATGGATCTGTGCATGGCACACCTTAGGCAGGACCCTCAGAACATGCCTTGCCCTCCCTGCAGCAGCCCATCAGTATTTGTCAGGTGACAGGGTGACAAAAATTCTATCGATTAATATAGGATACGGTAACATTTGATCTAAGAATTTCTTTTCAAAAAATCCTTTTTTCCTCTATGTTCCTGCAAATCTAAAATTAGTAAACCAACCCCATCCCCACCATAAATGGCATTATCAACATGAAATGGATTTGAATCTTATGACTCAAGAAAAGGACTGGGTGCAGAACTGCATTATGCCACACAGAACAGGAATGATGAGGGGTTGTAGACAGAGAAAGCAGAGAGGGGTGAATGAGGAACATGGGAAGTCAGGCGGGCTTGGTGCTGGCAGAGTCTTCGGAGGACTAGAAATGCAGGACGACACATATACACTGCCTGTGGCACCTGGGAGAGCCGCGCAGCACAGAGAGCAGAAGAGGTGAACTGTGCAGACATGTGATGGAGGGGCTGGTGGGGAGGGCTGCGTGATGTCCCCGCGTGACGAAGGGCTGGCGGCTGAAGCAGGAGGAATAAGCTCTTGCGATGAAAACATTCAATCTGAAGCTGAATCACCTTGCTGAAAGAGCAAGCTGCCCCCTCCGAGCTGTGGGGAGAAGGCGCCGTGGCTCCTGCACACCCAGACCCGCTCCTGTGGTTTCAGTTCACAGGTTTCAGCCCTGTGTGTGTGTTCTCCGTGACACATGGAGAATCCACCCGTCTCCACTGCTATAGACAGGTTCGTGTTGTTCTCATCTGTTAACTTGGTCTTGCTAAGCATCTCTGACAAAAGTCATTCAACTGCTCCTTCTCTGACAGGGATTTTAGTTTTCTTTACAAAAAGAACAAAGGATAGTAGACCCCTTTACACTCAGGCTGCAATGCCCACCGTGATGTACATTTAAAAAATTAAGAGGAGGACATTCACTGTTCAAATGATCCCACCAATCTACCAATGCTATGTACAGAAATTTACAAGTTCATACCAATTAAAAGTTGCAATGATTCAAATACAAAAGATATTATTAAATAATTTAAAATACGAAGAGTAAAATTATTTGAATAGAAAAAGTAACATTACTCAAGTAGAAAAAGTAAATTCATTTAAATGATAGCTCATAAGATATTGAAGAAAAACCTGATTTTTGAGGCCCCCAGTTTTTTTTCCTACCATGGAAAGTGTTAGAGATTTTTTTTTTTAATTAAGATCACATTTTTCTTTTGATTGTAACATTTTGGAGACATTATAAGTACTTTCAGTAATTTGATCTCCTGTTAGAGACTTTGGAAAGAATTTTGTATTTAGAAACTGGGTCTGAATAACTTTCCAGAGTTATGAAAACAAGAATGCATCTTGTATGTCTCATACCAACATTCTCCAGTTCTCAATACCTGGGACAAAAAAGATTTTTAAATATGCACTCACCTCCACATCACAGGTATATTCTGATCCATCCAGAAGTATCACTTTGCACTGCATGTTTTTAGGCTTTTTGACAATCTTTAATGGAGATCGAGATAGTTTACTGCTAGATGATTTCTGAGAAAGTTTATCGTCTTCCAATTGCTGATATTCGAGCTGTTTTGCAGCCCCAGCAGCGAACTCCCGTTCCTTGTCAGTGACCTGTGAAGAGCAAACAATGAACAGTTTTCACTGCAAGACAGGAAATAAATATTGCATTGCTCAGGCAAGAGCAAAACCCTTTAGACGTAGGCTTTCCTATTTCCCAGAGCAGGAGAGATGTCTGCATCAGGAGACTGTGTATGGGCAAGTACGCACACACGGATATTTATAATGCTAATGGTTTCACCTAAACATTGTTTAACTTTTGCCATTTAAATGTACCAACGGGGCTGCATTTCAGTTTGACTTGAGGGTTTAATTTAGAAGCATGGAGTTAGCAAATGCCATCAAGACTTTACTAAGCAAAGGAGGATACAAATGGACTCCTGACTTTTTAAAAAGGCATTAGACAGTACAGGTCTTTAAAATAAATCATTTAGGGGGCGCCTGGGTGGCTCAGTCATTAAGCGTCTGCCTTTGGCTCAGGTCATGATTCCAGGTCCTGGGATCGAGCCCCGCATCAGGCTCCCTGCTCGGTGGGAAGCCTGCTTCTCCCTCTCCCACTCCCCCTGCTTGTGTTCCCTCTCTCGCTGTGTCTCTCTGTCAAATAAATAAAATCTTTAAAATAAAATAAAATAAATCATTTAGATTTTATCTACTGTACTCTATTTTCTTCACTCACTGGATCCTTCTATATTCTATGACCCACAACACCCCCACATACATATAAGGTATCTTATAAACTTTAAGGCCTAGAGAGCTTCAAGTATTAATCTTCTCAGTAATTTTACAACTGTTACAGCTCTAAATCAATTCAATGAAGCCAGCAGCACTGAAATTCATCACAAAGTAATCCCCTTAATCTGTTTCCCCCCTCACTGTAATGAGCCAGTGTAAGAGCAGATCACATCTGTCCAAAAGCTTTAATCTGCTTTCAAAGTACAACAATGTAGTCCAGGCTAGACTTAGAACTGCAGAATATGTCCTGAGGAACAGTTAATTCTCCCTTGAATCAATAAATACCCTTGGAAATCTCTCTGTGCAACTAATCTCTTTACACCCCCCGGCTTTATATATGTGTGTGTTTACATACATATATTCCATTGAAGTACCGTTGACACAATATTACAAATAATTTCACCTGTACAAAATAGTGATTAAACAACTCAATACATTATGCTGTGCTCACCGCAAGCGTAGCTAGTATCTGTCACCATACAATGCTCTCTTCTATTAAATGACTACCAATGGTATTAATGTGCAAATTCAACTCATGGACCAGACTATCATTTCCACTAGTCTGCAAATGCACACTGACAGACCAAAGAAAGACATGTTGCAAAATTCAGTTTAGGCCCCTTGAGTGAGCACGAAATTTCTTCTCTTACAAACATATTATCTTTCTAGTAGCTAAAAGCACATGACCTTGACAATAAAGGTTTATTTAGATTTATCACTTCAACTTTTCTTTCTTATTAGTGGCTACAATTTTATGACACTCTAATCACAAAGTTATCTTCTGGTATATTTATTTTGGATTTTAGGTATGGATTTCTGCTTTTATAAAGTCATTTTCTATCTGGTTTTCCCTCCAAATTATAAATACAGTCCTTTCCTCCACTATTTTACATAGGAATTCAGGGCAAAGTTGTGAGACGTTCTTCAGAATAAAAAGACCAATTTGCTGAGTGAAGAGACCATGAAAAAACTGAAAAAACAACTTCAAAGGCCAAAATAGTTGAGAAGGCTAGAGGTAGCTAAAACAAGTAAATAAAAGAAAACCTGCTCTGGCAACTTGGTCCAACTTTTTTTTTTTTTTTTTTGACTATTAGTTTTTCATATCAAAGTATTAAAATGGTGCTGCAAAAAAGTCAAACAATTTTGGCCTTAAGCTAGTTGAAGAAGTTTGGTAACCTTGGAATTTTGTTTTAAGATTTCTTTATTTTACTGAGAGAGAAAGAGAGAGGGAGCACACATGAGCAAGCATGGGGGGAGGGGCAGAAGGAGAGAGAGAATCTCAAGCAGATTTCCACTGAGGGCAGAACAAGACACAGGGCTCAATCTCAGGACCCTGAGATCATGACCTGAGCCGAAATCTAGAGTTGACCGCTTACCTGAGCTACCCAGGCACCCTGGTAACTTTGGAATTTTATATCATATATTTGCTAAGTGCTTATAACTTACATAAGACTTTAACTCTTTTTTAAAGATTTATTTATACTAGAGAGAGAGAGTTCAAGTGGGGGTAAGGGCAGGAGAGGGGGAGAGAGAATCTCAAGCCCCAAGCCTGGGGGGGGGTGGTGGCTCAATCTCCGGACCCTAAAATCATGACCTGAGCCGAAACCAAGAGTCGGATGCTTAACCAACTGCGGTGCACCCAGGTACCCTAAGACTTTTGCACTTTTAATTCACATTTTCATTTCATTACAGGCAAAGTCAACAGAAGCTACGTTTTTATTTAAATCTTACTATGTGGAATCAACTTTTTCTCTGTATTGAGGAAGATGAAATTTCATTTTTCCTCTAATAAAATAAAAGTATCTGTATGAGACTAAGCTTTCTGGGCTACTTATAGGTCAACTCCAGACACCCCTGAAACCACCAGCATTCAAACGGAGGTGTTGTTTCTAAAACATTTAAAGCACGAACCCATCACTGAGTCTCTCATGCATGTATTTTCAACAACTTCAGAAAAGCAGACCAAGGACCTCAAATGAAACGTCCATTGTAGTCACATATAATTCATTACAATTTAAAAATATCAGTATCGGGGTGCCTGGGTGGCTCCATCATTAAGCGTCTGCCTTTGGCTCAGGTCATGATTACGGGGTCCTGGGATCGAGCCCCGCATCAGGCTCCCTGCTCTGCGGGAGGACTGCTTCTCCCTCTCCCACTCCCCCTGCTTGTGTTCCCTCTCTCGCTGTGTCTCTGTCAAATAAATAAATAAAATCTTTAAAAAAAAAAAATCAGTATCAACCCTTTTGGCAAAACCTCTGTTTCAATGAATCTTCATGACAGCTCTGGGAGGTAGGTATCTAGGTCTCCTTACCCTCATTTAACACATGGGAGAGAAAAGGACAAAGGGTACAGTCTCCACAAACTTCCTCCATAAAACTAGTAGCCTGGAATTCAAATCCAGCCAAGCTCATGTGTTTTCATCGTCATGGACTACTAAAATGTACTTCATTTCACCTCCAACACAACTGGGCTCCTAGCCTGAATCAAGGAGCCAAGAGCAGAAGAACCTGAGAAAACGATCTTTTCTGATCTCTTCATCTTGTGAACAAGGAAGCTGAGGCTCAGAGGCTGAATGCGTTCTCTGAGATCCCTAAAATAACTAGGGAAAAGGCAGGATTAAATAGTTCTCCTGGCTCCGCAGCCAGTTACCCTTCCCTCAAAGGGCTTTAGTATCATTTCTCTTATTTTGTTTCAGACATCTGATTTCCAGAACATAAAACACATGTATCACGTCTTGGCCCAAAAACTCTTTCTTCTGTACAATTATCTCCCACTCTCACATTTATTTCATTTCAGAGTTAAGAGGAAAGAATGGGGGAAAAAAATCCAGTCTAGTAATTTTAAATTGCTGAAGGTTTAAAAACAATCAAAACACCACCATCCTCACACCTCCAAAAAAATAAATGGTGAAGGAAAACTATGATGACAACAATGGCCCCTTAGATTTTGTTTAATAAGCTGGAAGGATAACCTCCAGCTCCCCATCATGAAACATTTTATATCAGACACAGCATCTATTTACAGAACATGAAAATAAATGTTATTTTTAATACTGCTTAAAAGCAGAACATAAATACCAAGGGAAAAGAAATAATCAGGTTGTAAACATAGTTTAATGTTACAATAATGTGTTGTGCCTTCCAAAGAATTTCACTAACATGCTGATTTCGTGTCTCTTCTCTCAACATCTTGTACAATTTCTAGCTTGACACATATACTTCCAACCTAGAAAAAGGTCAATCGTTTGCAGGGACTCCCAGATCTGCTTACCATAGCATGAGTTGGCACCCTAACACATGTTATTTCAGGTTTGAAGTTTCAAGCCAAAATAATTTAAACATGGATTCATTCAAAGCCCAAGTATAAACCATGCTTTATATTTTGTATGAAAACTTTTAAAATAAATAGTCACATTACATGTGACAACTTAAGTATGTCTAGATAATGGAGTTGAACATACACGCACATAAGGGAGGGAAAGAGACCCAGCTGAACATTCACTAAAAGTAGCTGGCAACACTAGGATCAGAGCAACCCCTGGGAAGAATCAAAAGAGCTCTAACCCCTAAGCCTGAACAAAAGTTAGGAGCCTAATTAAAGCCATTGGTGTGGTGTCTAGCCTTCCTGTAAACCCAGATAAAACCAATAACCTGCAGTCCAGATTTCAGGGTGGGTTTAAGTGCTTTAATCAAATGAAGGAGTTACCAAGCAAAGTTGTGGAATGTCATTCACTGGAAGTCTTAAAATAGCATAAATTTCCATTTGCCTGGGACCAGAAGGGATAAACAGACGACCCCTCATAGTTTCCTCTAGTGCTAAGAGACCAAGGTCGGCCCCGACCCTGGAAAAGGTCAATAAACATTCCTGAATTGGGTTTCTGGGTGATGCTAGCAGGTGTGGGGGAGCCGGTGTTGGCCTGGGTCCCGGGGCTCACCTCCTTCCTCACAGGGGTGCTGTGCGCCGCGGCCTCGAACTGCTCGAGGGCCTGGTGCTGCTCCTCGCCGCTGGGTTCGGGCCCCGGGCCCTGCGGCGCCCCCGCGTGCCCCTGCGCCCCCGCCGCCTCCTGGGGCTCAGCCTCCTGCTCGGGCTTGGATTCCGAGTCTGAGCCAGATTCGGTCGTCATGGTTGATTGTTCTGCAAACAGAAAATGGCAAGGTCCCATCACTCGGTGTAATTACCTTCGCTAGGCACAAAAACTAGGATGCTACCTATGGTGAAAGGTTGCACAGAAGCACAATAAAAAAAAAAAAAAAGGGAAAAATGCATGCAATCCAAACACAGTCCTACTGCACAGCCCTAATAGACGACTTCCATCTACCACAAAGATGGTTCAAAATGAACATTTAACGAGAAGCCAAAACTTATTTGTAATGATCACAGGTTTTATTCCTATTAGGTTTTTTGCCACAGACGGCCATAAAATGACATTAAAGTAACAATCTAATAATTATATAACTTAGACATATTTAATTTCAGAAAAATGAATCTTCTGCATCAGCTGGATCTATATTTTAATCTCTGGGAAGGATGATCTAATAATGGAAGCGGATTTTTTTTTCTCTTTCCCTCCGCCTTCCTATCTCTACCCAGGGCCCCTGCTCTGCCTCCAGAACCCCTGGATGTATCCATTCTTCCATGAGCAAAAGCCCTTCTCTGCTTTCTCAGAACCCTGTCAGCCCCTTTTGAGTGAACAGTGACAACTACATTAGAGGCTTCCTCGGGGACGTGGGGGCGGGTCCCACACTGGACAAGCCCTGGGCGGGTTTGGAAGGAGGCTGGGAGCCTCATCTCTCCCTCCCTCACCAGTGAAAAGTCACAGCTTCTTCCTGGCTTCCTCCTGTTTCCCCTGACAGTTGAAAAAGGAGTTTGTCTCAGCTCATAAGGGACTCACACAACAGAGTTTAATATATAATAATCTTCTCTTACACCTAAAAACACCTTCTAAAATAGAACCACCACCTTGTAATGGTTTGCTAGTCAAGACACAGAAGTATTTTGTGCCTTAGTTTCCACATCTGCCAAATGAGGGAATTGAACCTGACCATGTCCAAAGAACTTAGTTTCTGGGGGTTCCTTCCTCCCCCTCCTAATGGGCATGCTGCTGTGCTTAAAGCAGTATTTTGCTCGAAACAGCAAGAGAGGAGCTGTGCCAGCTGCTACCGTGGCATTTTAAGTAATTTCTTATCTTAGATAGACAGTAAATAACTCAAACCAAATCTCCCAGCCTGTCCTATGATTTCCCTTCCTAATTCTAATTTTATGGTAAAAATACCAGGAACAAAGGGGTAATGTAATACTCTAAGCAAATGATACGCCCGTTAGTATAATACAGAATTATGCAAACTATTACTCCATAGTAAAATCGCCATTTAGTTCTATCTTCACAACACACGCTGGAGTATGTTTAATAACTTGAAGAAGAGGGAACATACAAATACCAATGTATGTTATAAACTAAATTCTACATCTATGTTTCCTATCTAGGGTTCCTTTTTACAATCACCAGCTATTCCTTCTGTTGAATAAAAGACATATCAACTTGGCATGTGCTCAGTTGACCAAAGCATATGTAAATATCAAGACCAAACACTGAACAAGATAGTGATCCAAATAAAAGGAACACATTTTCTTTTTTCCTCTTACATTTTAGATTTTTAAGCAAATCTTGAAAGTAAATACTATATTCTCTTTTGTATGATTTTACTAGAAAGTGTTAAGTCCAGAGAAAAGACAGAGAGGAGGAAAGGTGGTGTTACAGTGTAATCCAGAGCCTATAATCAAATTCGACCTTTTAAAGGGAGAGGGTCAGTTTTATTTTATTATGTTATGTTAATCACCATTTTTGATGTAGTGTTCCATGACTCA